CACGCAAGCAGGCGGGCGTGAAAAAGAACATGGCTGCGAGAAATTTCTTGATACTTTTCTGTTTCTTCAGCCATAGTGCTCTAACTTGGGCAACTCTACCATATTGTGGAAGTGATTCTTATAAATACACCCCATTGCAAAGGGGAGACAATGGAAAAGAATATACCCTCAAACAAGTACATGTGATAATCAGGTGAGTTTTAATACACGCATTTGTTCAAAACAATTTTTTCTTTTCCCCAATCTTTCGAATCTTTTACAAGATTTACATCCAGCTATTTCCACGGGTCCTCATTTTCCTGAAATTTGGATGTGGAATTTTTAAAATTGCGTGGTTTGTTTCTCCGAATGTTGTAGGGAAAAGCAGACATTCCTTAACACGAATTATTTCCTTTCCAATCAGTTTACGGTTAGTTTGTACTTTAAGACTCCAATAGGCTTGAACTTTCTTTTAAGGTGTAAGGTTGATTTATCGATTGTTTGATGAGTTTTTTTCTCCCTCTCTCTCCCATTTCATTTTGAGAACAATTACCTCTCGATCTAGAAATAAGTTTTGCAAGTGGATTCATGTTCCCGGTCACGAGACTTGCAAACAGTGGCGGTGACAAAATTGTCGTTGGCTAAAGTATTAAGTTCGACAAAACTTAAATTCAAAACGTAACGTCTAAATCACACTAGAATTTCTCCAAATTACCTTTCCATACTTTTGGGTTTGATTCTGTAATTAATTCGCCCTAATTTCAGTACCTAAGTTCAATTTGTGTTGCAAATCATATTGGACAGTTTGTGTTTGCAAAAAACTTCAATGAACAGGCACCTCTGTCTGGACCAGTATACAAAGTCACCCATTTTTCATGGCAGTGGCTGGCATACAAGGTCCTGGAAAGCACTTCATGGCACTACTGCCAGTTAAATTAATGTTAGATGGATTTTTTTTCAAGGGCTGGGGTAGTTTATTTAAGGAATTTTTCAGAGTTGATTTTCATGTTTTGGGTATTTTTTGCGAATTGTTAAGATCTAAAACTCTACGTGCTTTAGTGAAATATAATTTTTTTTTATCATTATTAAAAAACTATAAGGTATTATAAATGAAGTGTTAATTGATATCATGTCTAGCTTTTTCTTTTGGGGGGGGTGGGTGGGGGATTGATTTTTGTCACTATGGAATTATCATTGACACCCCTTAAAATTCATGATACCCCCTCCCTCCCCTTCCCCCTAAACTCGTCTTCCATCTTCTCCAAGTCTTCCCCAAGTTAACTGATTTCAGGAAGGCTGTTACAATCCAAATTGATTTCCTCTTTTTTGTCATTGTTGACAACAGACACGGTGACAGAACAAGAGCAGAAGCTGCTCCCTGTTGGGCTAATGACACGGCTGTGTGGGACTGCCTATTGACGTCTGCTTCTCTGCCTGTCATCAAACATGACATCCATGATATAACAGTGGACAGGATCTACAGAGATGGTAGATATTTTAGTTATTGCATATTGTATTTTGTTCATATGTCAAATCCAAATTTTTTTAATGTTATCAACATTAGTACAATATCAGTACATTTGTGAATTAAAATTCATTTTTAATTTTCATTGTCTATTAATTTCCAGCCATCTAAAAATGGGCTCAACAACTTTTCACATATTTAATTTTTTTGGAATATCCATTTTAAAAAGGGATCATCAATGCATTTGGATAATTGTAAGACATGCCTTGATTTTCATTGTTCAAATATGGAAAAATCTTGACACTTGAGCAGTCTAATGATTTCATTGTAAACAGAAGTTTATGATATACACCAGTCTGAGAGTTTTTTCTGTGAATAACAAAAAGATAAAGAAGTCCTTGAAGGAATGATAAATTTGATGCATGCTTGTTTTCTTTTAAATGACACACAGTTTACATACCTGGTCGTAATGACATGAAAGGTGATTGTGGTTTGGGTCATCTGACTTCTAAGGGATACAAACAGGAGGAGGATAATGGAAAGAATCTGCGCAAAGCATATGTTGATACTGGGTTCCTTTCCCCCAACTACTCCAATCGTGAAGTGTTTTTTCGAACAGATGGTGAGTGTTTTAGAAGAAGTTTCATCTTTGATTGAAACAAATTATGGGAAAGCCAGAATTTGTGAAAAGTATATGTTGATACTGGGTTTCTTTCCCCAAATTACTTTAATTATGAAGTGTTTTGTTAAACAGATGGTGACTGTTTTAGAGGTAGTTTTGTTTTTGATTGGAAAAACTTGTGGGAAAGTTAGAGGCAAATAACTTTGGAGGTCAGTTATGATGGTTCCTATGAGGTCTGTGAATAACAAAAGCATAGGTGTCAGAGATTTAAAAGCCTTGAAATGTGTTTGTGAAGTGTCAATGTTTATTGCAAAATGCAAGAAATTATGTTGTTGTGCACTTTTTCTGCAATTTGGATTTTTCATTTTTTGTTTTGACAATTTTCACAGATATGTCAAGAACAAGACAGGTCAGTTCAGTATTCACATCAATTGTCAAACAGTGTTTTCTCTGCAACTATATGTCCCAACTTTAATCTAAAAAGTTGAAGTTTTAAAAGTTAGATTTTCAGTTTTACGTTGTTGATGTTCATTATACACACAGCTGTAATAAATTACTAAAAGTACTGTAATGTTGTAACTGTGCAGCCATTAAGGAAAACTGCAGTTGCACTGAGTATTGGAGGCCTTCAGCTAAAATTGACACTGTTGAAGACAAAAATTGTTCATTATGCTGCCCTGTTAGAGATGAGAATTTTCATAGATTGTGGTATTTAAGCCTTATGGAGCCATTAGTCAGGCTTATTCAGACAAAGTGTGGGATTAGATTTGAAGAACTTTTAAGTTAGACCAAGCATAGCATCAACATGGGAAACAATCACACCCCATTTAAGACTTTGGGTTTAGAAATATACCTGTTTGCGTGATAATTTATGTGAAATTATAAACACTTTTTGAGATTCACTTTTGGCTGCACCCACCACACCTGTCTAGGTCAAGTAAGGGATTGTTCTTTCTATCAGGGAGAGGAGGTTTTAAAAATTTACTCTCTCACATCATTATGCATCATCTCCATACTGTTCTCTACACATTTGCCAAGGTGCTGACAAGGAGAAGTTTTGTAACAATCAAGGGCTTCCTTGGTCGGCGATCATTTCCTTTATTCTCATAACCTTAATGTGTGATTCAGGGGTGATATTGTTGGGAGAAATTTGATGCTAGTCATTTTTGGGGGTCAAAGGATTAAGACTCGAAAACACATTATTTTCTCTACAGTCTGCTCAAGCTCTGGCTATAGGTATGTTTCCACCCTCAACTCCATTGTCAGGCAAATCTCAAGTTGTCGACATTAATGTGATGGACAAAGAATTTGATGACATAGAACCAAATCCCAAGTGAGTGATGTATAAGTGATTTCAAAATTGATTGATTAGTTGCACAACAGTCTATTTATCCCTTTAATTCCCAAAATCTGATTGTTAATCCTCTCCTCTATCTGCTCCATCTTTTCTTGTGAATTTGTTACAAGAATTTTGTGTTAGATCAAGATAAAAATTTCTACCTGATGAGCTTGAGGATATTTTAGGGAGAAGTTGCATGTTAATCACTTCAGGGAGTTATTTAACCCTTTACACCCTAACATCAGTATGCATATTCTCCACACTGTTCGTTATACATTTCCTAAGGTGCTGACAAGGAGAATTTGTTTGCCAATCAAAAGGTTCCATGACCTTTAGGTGTGATTCAAGAGTGATATTGTAGAAAGAAATTAGATGCTAGTCTAAAGGGGGGAAGAGTTAAGCTGATTGCATGGTCTTGGGGGGAGGGAAAGGGTGCAGTTTTTCAGGAAATGTTCTAATGAATGAAAATTGTCACAGGATGTAGTCACCTCTGATGGGGATCTGATCAAGGAATGGAAGAAACTGTTTTGTGTGATTGTGAATAAGCATTGTCAGAGCCAAGTGGGGATGTTTTTTTTTTTAGTTGGACTGGGCAATAAGTGAAATGTTGTCTATCTGGGTCACCCACTGTCCAAGATATTTCTTATTGCAGTTTCTTTTCTGTATTTCACCCACCCCTCTCCCCCCAATGCTCCGTTTATAATCTTCCCTTTGAGTCATGTGTAGTCTGTGGGGGGGGGGGTGGGGGGGGTTATCAATTTGTTACTGAGTTGGAACACTAAATTACAACACCTGTGATGCATACTACAATTATTTGCCTTTTCAGTCTTTGCCCTAAGTTAAATCAATATCGGAAAGAGTTCTTTGCATCTGAGTCTTGGAAACAGCATTACAATGAAATAACTGAACCACTAATGGCCGAAGTTGAAAAAGCACTTGGTCTCACATACAAACTGAGTAAGTCCTTTATTCCCTTTTTTCTTTCAAAGTAAG